AAAAAAAAAACAAACAGTCTGAAATGGTCAATGTCTGACCGAATCAGACTTCATATGTAATTAAGAGGCTTTTTTTGAAAAACAAACAGCCCCTTAATCTTAATCTTAACAAACATTATTGGACTTGATCTAGGATTGACGTTATTAGGTGTGTGTGATATTTGGGTTGTTGATCTTTGACTTTTTTTAACTTATCTCCAAGGGTCAAAACCTCCATTCACGATTATAAGATTTTGCATGTCTATTTTTAAAGAAAATTTGATAAAGAAAAGTGAGATTGGGAGCTTAAGGGGTCGTTTACCAAACGCTTACTTTGGTAAGCGTTTATGAAGTCACATTACCTTATAATATAAATATAGAAAGGACAAAGAATCTTAACAAATAAGAGCGAAAGTAAGGACCAAGAGTATTACTCGGTAGGTGAGTGCGACGACTTCTACAATGGTTTAGCGTTTACCAGATAATTGTTGCATAGGATACTTTTTTGATGAACTAAAATCTTACAAGGTAAGCAAATAACAGTGTTGAATTTTACCGGTAAACATTTAGCTGGGTAAGCATTTAGTTAACTACCCATAAGTATCCAAACCATTAGTGGAACATTACTTTGTGAAGTCGGTGGATAGAGATATCATTCACTTGATTTATTTAGATTTTAAGATTCTTGGAACTAATCCATATTCAAACCAAATAAGGCATGTTTTGCATCATTCTTATTTAAATAAGATTTATTAATTTAATGTAACTAAAAGGGTACTCATATAATATAGCGAGATGTATTTCGATTTTAATATTTTGTTTTATTCTGTTTTCTTCGATGTTATAATATGATTATATGTGGTAAAGAGAAAACGATAATATTTTTTATTTTTTGAATAAAATATAAATTTGAAGGTATCATAAATTTTTTTAAAAAATACATCAATTTTAGTATCAAATTAAATATTTAAAAATTCTTTTTTTTTATGTAATTTATTTAATTCAATTTTTTATTATAATTTGATTTAGATTTGATAATGAAGTCATTTATTTTTTGTTTAATAATAAAGATAATATTTAGTATTTTATTATAATTCAATGATTATCCTAAATATATTTAAAATGAGATACATATCTAGTATTTGATTATATTTTTATTTAGACCTAGTTACACGAATTTAAATATGGAGCTTTAATAAGTTATACATATGCAAAATGTACTGGTCATCTTGAAATTTAAGTAATATGCATCAATAAACAGTACTTAATGCATAAAAATGGTTTTTAAAAGTTTTTGTCAAATATTTTATCTATACTACCTTATAAACCAGATTTATCAAAATTCTTAAAAACAATTTTTAATGCACAAAGTACTATACATTTATGCACAAAGTCTTAAAAATAACTCATAATACATTAAGTACTACTACTTTATGCATTTAGTTTTAAAATCTATTAATTTACAATTAAAATAACATATAATACAAGTTACCAATGCAAATTATTACCTTTTGTTTTCATATTACCAATATACCTTTTGATACCTTTCACTCGTGTCTTCACCCTCTCATACCTCTATGTCTTCTCCCCATCTCCCAATATGAGATTCAAACTGATATTCACTATGAGTTATTAAAAGTTATCTCATTCATTTCTCATTCAATTGCTCTAGAACTCTCGGTCTCACTCTCTTGATTCTTTGTTCTTGGTGTAAATCGAACACATTTGTGGAGTCGTTTAAATATGTTGGATTTTAAATATATTTGATTTTAAACGGTCATACAATTTTTTTTATCGATAGACTGTAATTGGAACCATAACTCTTATTTATTCAAATTGAATTAATATGTAAAGACCAAGTCTAACTTATATCATCGTTAAATCTTCTCTAATAAAACCAGTAAAACTTCAAAATTGTTAAAATTCACGGCTTCCGCCACATTATACGTATATACAACTAGTAATCTATACTATATTATAAAGCATTTGACTAAAACTCTTAAAAACTCTTAAAACTCTTAAAAACTCTTAAATCGTTTATCCCTAAACGATTTCATCCATATCCGATTTCATCCTATATCTGAATTCGTGTAACTAACTGCAGATAAACACAATCAAATACAGGATAAACATCTCATTTTAAATATAAAAAATCTAAAATATAATTAGGATAT